CAAACATGCTGCCCTGGATGTGCTCGCTAAGTTGTGCCAGGAAACCTAGAGGATAGCCAGCTGGCCAACTGACTGAGAGATCGATATTTGTTCCCATTCAAAAGGAAGGTGACCCAACAGAGTGTGGAAATTATTGAACAATATCATTGATATCACGTGCAAGCTAGATTCTGGTGAAAATTATCCAAAAACATTTGGAACAATATGTCAACATATGTACAGGCTGGATTTAGAAGAGGTTGTGGGATCTTGATCCGAGCTTTGTAGCTCGGCGCTGCTGCAGACTTGGACGCCAATATCCCGATTGTAGATGCAGGGGGTGTTCTGGGGTTGGAGATTGATCTGCTCCTGGAGACCAGGGCGCTGTAGGAAGGCGGATGACTAGCGATTGCACCAGGAGCTGCGGCGGACTGGGAAGAGCCATGGTGGCTCCTCGAGAGCCGCCGGGACAGGCCTTCCTGTGATCGGACTCTACTTTAGGGGGTGATCAATCTGAACATCTCTTTCCCAGCCACTGGCTGCCAGAAACTCATTGAGGTGGACGATGAACGCAAACTTAGGACGTTTTATGAGAAGCAAATGGCCACAGAAGTTGCTGCGGACGCCCTCGGTGAAGAGTGGAAGGGATATGTTGTCCGGATCAGCGGTGGAAACGACAAGCAAGGTTTCCCCATGAAGCAGAGTGTCTTGACCCATGGCCGAGTTCATCTGCTGCTGAGTAAGGGGCACTCTTGTTACAGACCACGGAGAACCGGAGAGAGGAAGCGCAAATCTGTCCGGGGTGGCATTGTGGATGCCAATCTGAGTGTTCTCAACTTGGTCATTGTCAAGAAAGGGGAGAAGGATATCCCAGGACTGACTGATACCACTGTGCCACGTTGCCTGGGGCCCAAGAGAGCCAGCAGAATTCGCAAACTCTTCAACCTCTCCAAGGAAGATGATGTCCGTCAATATGTTGTGAGAAAACCACTAAACAAAGAAGGCAAGAAACCCAGGACCAAAGCGCCCAAGATTCAGCGTCTTGTTACTCCACGCGTCCTGCAGCTCAAGCGCCGGCACATTTCGCTGAAGAAACAGCGCACTAAGAAAAATAAGGAGGAGGCTGCAGAGTACGCTAAGCTTTTGGCCAAGAGAATGAAGGAGGCCAAAGACAAACGCCAGGAGCAGATCGCCAAGAGACGGAGGCTGTCCTCTCTGAGAGCTTCTACCTCCAAATCCGAATCCAGTCAGAAATAGAATTTCCTATGTGTGGCAAATAAATAAGCTCACGTATTGGAAAAAAAAAAAAAGAAGAGGTTGTGGTACTAGGGATATTATAGCTAATGTTAGATGTATCTTGGCAGAAAGCAGAGAATACCAGAAGAATATCTGTGCTTCATTGTCTGTGCAAAAGTTTTTGACTGTGTGGATCACAACAAGCTATGACTGACTCTGAGAAGAATGGAATGCCAGAACATTTGATTGTGCTAATGTGAAAACTATACTTGGACGAAGAGGCAGTCATCAGAACAGAGCAGGGAGACACTGGATAGTTCAAAATCAAGAAGGCGTCCGTCAGGGATGTATTTTGTCTCTATACCCTTTCAATCTGTATACAGAACAGATCATCCGAGATCCTGGGCTGTACGAGGCAGAATGTGGCATCAGGATTGGTGGAAGAATTAACAACCTGCGTTAAGTGGATGACACAACCCTCCTTGCTGAAACTGAGGAGGACCTGAAGCGCTTGCTGCAGAGGGTCAAGGACTGTAGCCGTCAGTATGGATTGAGGCTCAACATCAAGAAAACAAAGATTCTCACCACTGGGCCAATTGGCAGCATCAGTATGGATGGTGAAAAGATTGAGATAGTTAACAGTTTTAGTTTACTTGGCTCCACAGTCAACACTCTTGGTAACAGCAGCCCGGAAATCAGGAGGAGAATTGCATTGGGAAAGTCAGCTGTGAGGGACCTCTCAAGAGTACTGAAGAGCAACGACATCAGGCTGGAGACTAAGGTGCACCTGATCCAGGCTATAGTCTTTGCAATTACGTGCTATGCATCAGAGAGTTGGACAGTGAGTAGGGATGATAGAAAGAGAATTGATGCCTTTGAGCTGTGGTGCTGGAGAATAGTGTTGAATATACCATGGACTGCTAGGAGAACAAACAGATTTGTCCTGGAGAGGGTGAAGTCAGAATGCTCCTTGGAGTCAAGGATTCTGATGCTTCTCTGACATACTTTGGGCATGTTGCAAAGAGGGACTGGTCGTTGGAGAGGGACGTCATGTTTGGGAGAGTGGAGAGACGGCACAGGAGAGGAAGACCCTCGATGAAATTGATCAGTTCTGTGAGTGGAGTGGTGGGAATGAGTGTGTTTGAGATGGCGAGGTTGGCACAGGATAGGACAGCTCTTGTATGTAGGGTCACTATGGTTCGCAAGCGACTCGATGGCACATAACAACAACATTGTACTTATCCGTGCCATAGTCTTCAGTTATTTGCTTTGCATCAGAAGCTGGACAATGGTTAAGGATGATAGAAGGAGAATTGATGCCTTTGAGTTGTGGTGCTAGAGAATGTTGTTGTTGTTGTGTGCCGTCGAGTCGCTTGCGACTCATAGGGACCCTATGTACAGCAGCCCTAAACCCTGCTCTGTCCTGTGCCAGTCGAACTGCCTCTGACAACCATCCTGATTACCCCAGTCACTGAGTCAGTCCACCTCAGAGAGGGTCTTCCCCTCCTACGCCGTCCCTCCACCCTCCCAAGCATGATGTCCCTCTCCAAGGACCTGTCCCTCCTTACAACATGTCCAAAGTATGTCAGACGAAGCCCCAGAATCCTTGCCTCCAAGAAGCAGCCTGTTTTAACCCTCTCCAGGATGAATCTGTTTTCTTGGCAGTACATGGTATATTCAATATTCTTCTCCAGCACCACAGCTCAAAGGCATCAATTCTCCTTCTGTCCTCCCTGGTCGTTGTCCAACTCTCCAGTGCATAACAAGTGATTGCAAAGACCATAGCCAGTATCAGACGCACCTTAGTCTCCAGAGTGACACCATTGCTCTTCAGTACCCTGGAGAGGTCTCTAATAGCAGACATTCCCAGTGCAATATTTTTTTAATTTCCTGGCTACTGGTGCCAAGAGTATTGACCGTGGAGCCAAGCAGACTAAAGTTGTTAACAATCTCAATCTCTACACCATCCATCCTGATGCTGCCAGTTGGTCCAGTGGTGCAAATCTTTGTCTTCTTGACATTGAGCCTCAATTCATACTGAAGGCTGTAGTCCTTGACCCTCTGCAGCAAGTGCATCAGGTCCTCCTCAGTTTTAGCAAGCGGGGTTGTGTCATCTGCATAACACAGATTGTTAATAGATCTTCCACCAATCCTGATGCCACACTTCTCCTCATAGAGCCCAGCCTCTCAGGTAATCTGTTCTGCATACAGGTTGAAAAGGTATGGAGAAGGTTGAAGATGTATGCTAGAAAATAGTATTGAATATACCATGGACTGCTAGAACATACCGATTCATCCTAGAGAGGGTGAAACCAGGCTGCTCCAGGAGGCAAGGATTCTGAAGCACCATCTGATATACTCTGGGCTTGGACAGGGACATCATGCTTGGGAAGGAGGAGAGACAAAACAAGAAAAGAAGACCTTGGATGAGATGGATTGACTCTGTGGCTGGAGTAATGGGGGTAGGTTTGTCAGAGACAGTAAAGTTGGCTCAAGATAGAGCAGTGTTCAGAGCTGTTGTACATAGGGTCGCTATGAATCGCAAGCAACTTAATGGCACATAACTACAACATTGCACTGGAAAAGTCTTCAGTCAGGGACCTCTCCATATTATTGAGTCAATATGATGTCAGTTTGAGGACTAAGCTGCATCTGATTCAGGGTACAGTCTTTTCAGTCATTTGCTGTGCATCTGAGAGCTGGACAGTGAATAAGGATACCAGAAGAATTGATGCCTTTGAGCTGTGGTGTTGGAGAAGAGTGCTGAATGTCCCATGGACAGCCAAAAGAACAAACAAATATGTCTTGGAGAGAGTACAGCCAGAGTGATCTTTGGAGACAAGGATGATAAAGCTTCATCTCATGTACTTGGGGCATCTTGCTAGGAGGGGCTGTTCTTTGGAAAGGCATAGAAGGTTGGTGAAGGAGAAGACCTTCAACCAGGTGGATTGATACAATGACTGCGTCTATGGGCTCTAGTGTGTCAGGAAGTGTGAGGATGGCACAGAATAGGACAGGGTTCAGATATTTTGTTCATAGGGTTGCTACAGGTTGTAATTGACTCGACAGCACCTAACAGCAACACAGGATGGCAGTCCCCCTTCCTGTCTCTTCTGAGCAGCCTTCCCACTAAACTCTTTGAGGAATGATCTCATCTGTGTTGTTGTTGGGCTTCAGTTCTTTCAGGCTATTGCATTTCTAATTCCTGAGTCTGAGGTGGTTGAGAGCATGTTTTGGAAGTGTAGCAGACCACTCTGGGCCTAGAATTGAACTCACCCCTCTGACACAGCTTGCAACAGTAGATAGGCCTTTGAGGTGAATAGTAGCATGAGAGATGCACTCAGTCCTCAGAGCACTCTACCACATAAGATCACCAGGGCAGCATTAGTCCAGAGAGAAAGCTTAAAAGGCAGGAAGAGGCTGGAAGGATGCATGGGAACATGAACCAAAGAGAGATCATGGGAAGAATAATGATTCATTGTGAGGAGTGACGTGAATGTCAGAAAACAAAATGTGTGAGAATGGTTGATGGAATACCATCATGCTCTGTGGGCTTACTCAAATCTCAGAAATAAAATGTTTAAATCAAAACATCTAATCAGGTGCAGTTAGGCCCCACGACTTTCCGTGTTCCTGCTCAATACTCCTTGCTCACACAGACAGTGAAGAAAGCATGGCAGGCCTCTCACCAGGTCATGGGCTCCCTGCCCTGGCGGGGCCCTGGGTACTTTGTGGTATGTCCCAGGTGACTCGTGCCCTGACCATTTTATTCCTTTCTCTGCCAGTGCCTGGATCAAAGTGGAGCAGCTGAAGCCCTATCATGCTCACAAAGAGGAGATGATCAAGATCAACAAGGGTAAACGGTTCCAACAGGCTGTGGATGCCGTGGAAGAGTTCCTCAGGAGAGCCAAAGGCAGAGACCAGGTGAGCAGCTCGGCCATTCTCCTTTGTGCCCACACCAGGCTGATTCTTTCTGTTTTGTGCCTAACAGACGAAGTATAACTCTGACCTGAAACCCTATTTTCATCAAAGGCCAACAGGAAGGGGAGAACAAGAGAGCTCAGCTTCAGCCCTAAGGAATACACCTAATGCTGGTCCGGGGGTACCATGCCCATGGTTGAGATCTCTGAAGGAACTGGTGCTCTCAGGAAAGTTGCCTGTATTCACAGCAGTGGCCCAGCTTTGGATAAGAACTCAGCCCACATCTCACTTTCATTTCACAGCAGTCAGAGCACAGGCTCCAGGCTGGACAGCTGAACTTGATCCCACTTTCTTGCCATAGGGCCTTTTAAGCTAGTGACTTTTCTTTCTTCTTTTTAAATCGTACTTTGAAGCCTTGGGTTTACATTCAGATATTCATACACATTTTGTTTTATGGTATCAGTTGCAATCCCCATGGTTTGGTAACATTCTTCCGCCTTCCCCTTCCTCCTTGCAATTCTTGTTTCCACTCATTCTTCTTATCTCTTCCTGTCCTCTGAGTTTTCACCCTGGGTAAATACTGCCCTGTTGATTTATATATAAATACATCATATATATAAAATAAAGGAAGCTCTGATGGTTAAGTGGTAAGGACTTACACTGCCAGCCCAAAGGTTTGAATCTGCCAGTTATTTCATAGGAGAAAGATGGGCAGTCTCCTCCTGTGCAATTTACTGCCTCTGAAAACCTGCTAGAGTATCAGATATGGGGGCTTGTTACCAACTCCACAGTATACAACAACATATAAAATATAATTTTTTGTGTGTTTTGAGTAGAAGTTTACAGAGAAACTGGTTTTCCATTCAGTCATTCATACAGCTTTGGTTTTATGAATTAGTTGCAATCTTCTCCCTTTTGAGTTTTCTTTCTGTGCTTCCCACAAAGGCAGTAGTATCTAATTCCCAGAGTTGCTGGGTTCATTACACCTGTAAAGGCCTCTTTGAAGTACCTGCCAACTGTCGGTGGTAGTATACACTCCGTTTATCTTTATTCATCTCATTCAACTTTCAGACATCATCCCACAACGTGGCTGATGACAAGAATCGACGTAGTTCCAGCGAGGAGAGAAGCAGGCCTGGCTCGAGGGAAGAGAAGCGCAAGCTTGGCCTATCAGGAGGGAAGGTGAAGAAGAGCACCGGAGAAGGCAAGAAGAGGGTGAACTCAGGGTCTCCAGAGAGAGGTTCCAAGTCCCCTCTGGAAAGAGCACAGGAGCAGAGCCCCCGGAAGCGGGGCCGGCCTCCAAAGGACGAGAAGGTTTGTTGACTACTGCAGCTCTGGACACAGGGCTTTCCGCTCCTAGAGTGGAGTGCTCCATTCAGCATGCACTCACACTGGAGGGTCCCAGGCGAGGCAGGCCTCAGCACACACCGTGAATGGAAATTATCAGGCCTAACACATCCAGGTCAGTGGAGGGCTGAGGCAAGAATCTAGCCCAAGTCTAGCTAGGGCCTAGGCTGGCACTGGAGACTCAACAGAGAAGAAGAGTAATGGTCCCTAGACGCCTGCAGGTCAGAGTTGGCGCAAACACCCTCAGACCTTAACCGTATAGGGCTGAAATGCTTTTTTGCTAATTGAAGTGGCTTTGGTGGAGACAGTTGTCAGCATGCTCCCATTAAGACTTACTGCCTTGGACACCAGGGACCACTTGTACTTTGTCCTTTAGAGTCACTGTGAATTGGTATCAACTTGGCAGTACTAGTGGCTCACAGTGAGTGTGGGTGGATGCAAGCCAACTGTAGCCAGGCTGCAGGGCACCCACAGGCCTGTGGAGGTCAAGTGGTGGTTTGCCCTTGTTGGATTTTCTTTCTCTCTCTCTCTCTCTCTCTCTCTCTCCCCCCCTCCTCCCTTCCTTTTCCCTCCCCTCTTCTCCCTGTTCCTTCTTTCTTGTGTGTTTCCTAGTAGAAAGTAACTGAAGATGAGGGCAGTTCTGTTTTCCAGGGTAGCCATGAGGCAAATACTGATAGTTTTCCCCACAGTCACTGAGGGCTAGGAAAAAAGGCTCCAGGCCAGTGAGAAACTGTACAAGTTCTGGGAACCATTTGTTCCAATACTAAATGGGAATTGGTGAGAAACACCATGAAAGAGTCCATGGGATGTGGAGAACCATTGTAGAGGAGATACTTGAGAAAGCGAGCTGGGGAGTACATCAGGCTTCTCACCTGGAGATAGGACAAAGCTGCTTTTAAAGTCCTCATCTCATATAATGCAAAACTCACCCCTGCGACTCGCAGACAGGCCCCTAAGGTGAATAGTAACACTAGGGATGCCCTCGTGCCTTAGACACTCAGTCACACAGATCAGAAGGCAGCATTTGCTCAGGGAGAAAGCTCAGAAGACAGGAAAAGGGCGATAGAATGATGAGTAGAAATGAGAATCACAACGAGGAAGTGGGAAGAAAGTGTAATTATGGTCATAAAAGAAAATGTGTATAAGTGGTTAAAAGGAGAACCAGTTTGCTCTGTAAACTTTCACTCAAGTCACAGTAAAACCAAAAAATACACATTATTCTTTAAGAAAATAGAGAGACTAGTGGCAAGAAGCTGCACTGCAATCTCAGAGGCACGCTGTTCAAATCCACCAGATGCTCTGCTGGAGAAGGAAGGGCAGCCTCCTCCTGTACCAGTCAGATCCGATTTGACAGTACACACACAAAAAAAAAACCTTAAAAAAAATAAAATGTTGAGAGTTGAGAAATGTAAGTGGTCCTGGCTTACAGGCTGTTTGAACTTGACAAGTCTGTGGTGATGTCTAGATGGCTGAGGCACCTGTGCAGGTGGCATCAGCTTTAGGAGCTGAGTGTGAGAACAGAGTTGAATCCCAAGAAAGCACAAAATGAAATTGGTCTCAGGAAAGGCTGAAAGGGGCGGAACAAAGGGAGGTTGAAGAGACTGGGGCAAAACCCAAAAGAGGCAAAGAGCCACATGAGTTCTATCCAGTGGAGTAATGGCTCGCTATCTTCCTGAGAAGATATGGACCAGGATTCCTAGAGCTGAAGGAGGTGTGTTTGGAGCTGATAGCGATAGCTGGATCCTCACATCAGGAGAAGAGGGAAGAGAAACCGGGTGGCTGGCAGAGCAGATGAGGATGCCAAAGCATCATATTGGCGTTGATAGGTAGTGGCCGTGAAGCCAGGAGGTAACTAAGCAAAAAGGAGCAGGGCTTAAGTGGAACCTTCCCTCAGCAGGACCTTCCTGAAAGGGTCCTGGGGAGACATGGAAGCTATCAGTCTGAGGAGGTTGAGGTACTCTGTCAGGGGTGCCCAGGGCGGACTGTTGACAGATAGTCTGGTTCTTCTCAAGAGAAGCTAGAAGTAGAAATCATGGGAAATGGTCCATTGGGAAATGTTAGTTTCAAATTAAAATTTTTAAAATAATTGCTGAGTCCCAGAAGGAGGCCTTGTGGTACAGTATGTAAAGTTTCAAGCTACTAACCACAAGATTGGCCAGTTCAGACCACCAGTACACCTGAGGGAGGAAGATGAATACAGAATCAGAAACCTGATGGAGGCTGCCCTGAGTTAAAATCAACTAAACAACATTCATTATGGATCAGAGGGGAAAGAACCAAACAACGAAAAGCCTGTGGATGTGTTATGGGTGTGACCTGCAGGTAAGGAAGGCCCTTCACACCTGCTGGATGGAGAGAAGTAATTGAAGGAGAGCCCAGGGAGCTGAGCACACAGGTGGCAGGGTTTGCAGTTAGTGTGAAGGATTTTTCATGGAGTGTGATTGTCTTGGCATTTGATATGTGACAAATACCAAGTGACTTTTTGAGTCACCTTCCTAGGCACCAGGGGAGGATCAGGCTGTCAGGTGTCCCTCTGTTCCTGCTGTGCCCCCCACTCCTTACAGAGAACCTGCTTTGCAGAAATCAGATAGGACCAGGTGCCAGCCCGAGTTTGAATCCTGACTCTGTGTCTTTCCCCCACTTTGGGTGCTTTCTTGTCCTCTGAGCAGTGAGAGAAGACTCACAGTCTTGTTGACAGTGTGGCACCTGCAGCTCACACATTTTTACCTGGTGTCTTCAATCTGTGGTTTTCTCTAGTCGTTTTAGAATGTTGTAAGACTTGTGCAGAAGTTCAGCCACAGCACTCCTTAGCAAGGATGACTAGACTTTATCACAGCTGCTTTAGGTGTATTATCGAGAAAGCCAGTCTCTGAGAAAAGAGCATCGGACTGTGAAGTGAGAGGAATTGGCACTTCTCAGTCTGAGCGTGGCTATAATGATGGACTCCAGCACAGCAGAGGCCAAAGATGGCACTAGGTTAGGCACAGCTTTGTTCTCTCGTACAGGGAGTTGCAAAGACAATAACAGTGGTCCATGCCTAGAACCCCTCAGAAGCAGCAGCATCCTGTTCAGGGGCCTGACTGGCTCACTTGAGAGTAAAACTGTGTGCCTCAGCACCACATCTCCACTCGAGCTCTGCTGGATCTTGAGTGTCTGCAGTGTCCTATGTCCATGGTCTTCACACTTGATCTACCATGACAGGCTTTGGTAGCAGGTGAAACAAGGAGCATGTTTGGGGGTATGAATGTTGGTTTGGAAAGGTGGGGTTAGGCATCTCTCTAGAGAAGTGGGAGTCTGCAGGCTTCGGGTACATCTTATAGTGGATGGTATCCAGTGGTCACAGGTGAGCTAAGGCGATGCCTCAGATGGCAGGAGGAACAGAAATGGACATTGATAATGAAGATGGAGCTGAAGGGTGAAGGGTGAGCATGCATCCAAGCCTTTGTGAAGCCTCATACCTGCTTCATCAGGAGTTGTAGTGGAGTTGGTTGGGAGCTGCGCTGTGATTCCTAAGGTGACACCTCTTTGGCAATTTGAATCCACCAGCAGCTCCACAAGAGAAAACTTGCTACAAGCTATAACTTGGTTCCATCTCGACGGTGATATACCCAGAGCTGAGAGCTCTAGCAACTCTGGCATACTACCCAACAAAGCTGCAGCATTGTCCTCCTGTAACACCAAGAGCAAGGACCGAAATTCCTTCACTCAACATAGATGCCTTTCCTCAGCCACAAATGACCATTCACTCTGAAATTAAATTAAATATAATGAAAACTTCAATTCCTCAAGTTGCTCTAATCACATATCAGATGCTCCATGGCATTTTATCACTATAGTGTGGGATACTTCTGAGCACCCAGCACTAGGCTGCTTATGGTAGGGTAAACATTGGGCTGCTAATCAAAGGATCAACTCTTTGAATCCACCAGCTGCTCCTTGAAGGAACAATGAGCAGTCTCTTCTCATAAAGATTTACAGCTTCAGAAGCCCTGTCGGGCAATCCTGCTTTATCTTATAGGTCGTCCACTAAGTTGCAGTAAATTTAGTTGTCTTTGTTTACATTCAGCAAAGGAGTCTTGGTGGCACATTAAGTTGAGTTGCTAGCCAAAAAGTCTTGAGGAATAAGCCTCGGTAGTTTGAAGACTTAAAGTGCTCCTGATCCAAACCATAATCTTTTCAGTTGCTGTGCAGCTGAAAGTAAGGATGCCAGAAGAAGAATCAACACCTTTGAGTTGTGTTGAAGAATACAGAACATCCCATGCGCTGCCAAAAGAACAAACAGGTATGTCTTGGACAAAGTGCAGCCAGAATGCCCCTTGGAGACAAAGATAGTGAAACTTTGTCTCACATACTGTGGGCATGTTGTCAAGAGGGATCAGTCCTTGGAAAAGGACATTGTGCTTAAAAAGGTTGAGGATCAGAGGAGGAGGAGAAGACCCTCAACAAGGTGGGTTGACACAGTGATGGTAAATGATGGGCTTAAGTATGTCAGAGATGATGAGGATAGAGCAAGATTCAGATCCGTTGTTCATAAGGTTGCTATGAGTCATTGTCAACTCGATGGCACTGAACAACAACCACCAAAAAGTCAGGAGATTGACCCACCAGACTCTCCATTGAAGGAACATGAGACACTTTGTTCCTATGAAGTTTTACAGCCTCAGAAATCCTATGGACAGTTCTGAGGATCGACTCAGCAACAGCAACATGGGTTTATTCTCCAAATATTTATATGCAGTGTCTCCATCATCGAGCTAATGTTTAGAGAAGAGGCAGCATCAAGTACAGACAAGATCTCTCCTATCTGTTTCTACAGTAAATGTTGAGCACATGGTATGTGCCTACTGTACCACAAGCATGGCTCCAGCACTGGTCCAGAGTAAACGAATATGCCATAACTCTTGCTGTCATGGCACTTCCTTACGAGAGACAGACCCTGGAGCCAGTATCCTGATTGTTTCATCTACTTTTGATATAGGGCCCAGCTACTCAAGTCTCTGTTTCCTTGTCCATAAATGTACAATGCTGGGTCTGTCTCATGAGGCTGTGACAAAAGCAGACATGTGGAGTGCCTATGGTGACATCTGCCACATAGCCATTAGGGACCATCAGATTGCCTTCAGCTTACAGCAGCCCCATATGTACAGCATATCACAGCCTTGCCCGGTTGTGCACTATCCTCAGTTACTGCTCTGTTTGAGCCTTCTTTTGCAGCCACTGTTTCACTCCTTTTCATTGAGATTCTGATTCTCTACTTAACCAAGCAAGCATGATGTCCTTCTCTAGGGACTGATAATTCCTGATAGCATGCCCAAAGTGTAGGTGGCGAGTCTTACGCCTCTAAGAAGCATTCTTGCTTTACTTCTTCCATGATAGATTTGTTCATTATTCTGATAGTCCATGGTCCTGGCACAGAGTAAGACAAAAGACAATGGAAACCAAACCATTGAACCAGTTCCTGCTCACAATGACCTGCATCCAGTTTACAGGGTCGTGGATCTACAGGAGCAGACTGCCCATCTTTCGTGCAGCTGGTCAGCTGAAACAGACCTTTCAGTTGTCAGTCCAGCATATACCACACATGTACTCCCACCCCCACAACATTGATGGACCAATAAAAATATGTAAAAAAGAAACAACATTGATGGGAGTTGTCAGTGTCATCATTGCAGCAGAGCAAGAGTATGAGCCAAGTTGATTCTCATGTGAAGATGGTGTGAACAGAGAGAATAAGCATTACGAGGCACCAGAGTGGCCCAGGGTGAGTGAATGGAGAGTGGCAGGGCACAGACAGGGCCCTGTAGGATACACAACCTTGAAACAGCCTGCCGATTCTCTTTGCAAGGGAGGACCTGTGAGGCAGGGGCTGGCTGGCTGGCTGTGGAGTGTTGGGGACAAGGACAGAAAGGATATTTTCAGCCATCCACTGGCCATGTAGGGCCCTGTGCAGTGAATAAGTGGTGAAGTGAGAGGCTGGTGGAAAGCAGAACAGCTTATCATCACTATGGGCTCGGAGGAGCCCTGGCGGTGCAGTGGATTAAGTGTTGGACTGCAAACAAAGTGGTATAAACCCACCATCCACTCCAATGGAGAAAAGCGGGCTGTTTCTGCCAAGATTGAAGCCTTGGAAACCCCCAGAGGCGGTCCTCAGCTCTGCACATGGCTGGGAGTCACAGTCAACCCACAGCAGTGGGTTTGGTTTTGGGGGGATTTTTTGGGGGGTTTGCTTTGCTTTTTAAATGGCCTTTTGTGAGGAGTCTGGGTGGCACAGTGGTTAAGTGCTCAGCTACTAACCAAAAGGTTGGCAGGTCAAACCCACCAGCCCTTCTGAGGGAGAAAGCTGAGGCAACACATTTCTGTAAAGGTGATAACCTTTAACCCCTGTGGAGCAGATCTCCTGTGTCCAAAAGGGTCATTCTGACTCAGAATGTATTTGAAAGCAGTGGGGGGTTTGTGTCTGTGGATGACACTTTTTTCTTTTTGTTGGCAAGTTGTTACAGAAGCATATACGATAGAACATCAGCATGTCCAGCCTGCACGTGATCCCTGTTGGTTGGTTCATTAAGCTCTGGCGGCTAGCCTCAGTGCAAGTGTCAGGGCTGCATTCCAAGAGAATGAGTAGAGATAATGGTCCAGGAATGGCATGGCCAGGTTCGTAGTGTTGCACCCCTCAGGCTGAAGTCCAGACAGTCCTAGCATCTAACCCAAGTCTTGCCACTTTGCAGATAGAAAACTGGGGGCTGATTTCCCTATGGGCACTTTGTGACTTCATTCAGTTCATTGGTTTTATGAACATGGTAATTTCTTTTGAAACCAGCAGTTTCTTTGAGATTTGAGTTAAAGTTTACAAAGCAGATTTGTTTTCCACTCAACCATTCATGCAGTTTGTTTTATGACAGGTCCTGTAACCATACCATGACCACACTCTTCTCACTTCCTCCTGTGATTCTCTTGCCTAGTAATTTCTTCTGTCCTCTCCCTTCTTGCATACTAAGCTCTTTGCTTTGATCTTCTGCAGTGGATTCTAATGAGCAAGTGGCTCCCTGGGGATATTGTTCACTGTAGAGGGTTTTCTATTGTTTGTCAGAAAGTTGAGCCATTTTTATGTTTTTTGTTTTGTTTTGTTTCTGTGCTCAGTTGTTTACTAAGACTATGCCATCTTGGTCTCTGTTAGACTGTTAAGCCTGCTGGTTTCTGTGATTTTGTGTTTGTTCCACATTTCCACCACTCTGCTCAGGATTGCTGCTTGCTCCCTGTATAGTTGGCAGCAGTGGTGACCAAGCACTGGCTCATCCATCTTCCCTCCATATCGTGGATGTTGATGTTTGTGGCCCGGTCGCCCACTCATCACCTACTGTGGGGATTTTCTCCATCACCTGTTGGTGACTCTTCAGGGCCTGGTGTGATGTCACATTGATTCTGTCCTTACGCACTTTGGCAGAAAAACAGTACTCTAAAAGGTCCTCCCAACAGAGACCTACACTGCTTGCTGACTTGGGTTGAGTTAACCCTTGACTGAGGGCTGAGGGGAGTAATTCAGGGTGGGGTATGACTGAGGAAGCAAGGTGGTGAGGTGCTGATCCCCTATTTGGGACAGGGGCAAATTACCAATATGACTGTAGCATCTTAATATGCTGTGCCTTTTTTCCCTCCATAGGACCTCACTGTCCCTGAGTCAAGTACTGTGAAGGGCATGGTGGCTGGGCCTATGGCTGCATTTAAATGGCAGCCAACTGCGAGCGAGGTAAGGTACTCTTCTTCACTATGCACAGCAAACCGCAGACATCAGGGCTGATTCTTGGAACTGTATGCTGTGTCTGTTCTGTTCTTTCCCCCTCATTTTGTATATGCTAAAGTAATCTTGGTAGCTCTGTAGTTAAGACATTCCACTGCTAGCCAGAAGGTCAACAGTTGAAACTCACCAACTGGTCCACAGGAGAAAACTGTCAGTCTGCTCTTGTAAAGATTACAGCCTCAAAAACCATCCAGGGCAGTTGTACTCTGGTCATAAGGGCACATGAGTAGGAATGGACTCTGTAGCAGTGGGCAAAGGCATCTCTAAAACAGGAGTCAACAATACTGGCCTTCCACTTATTTTTAGAAATAAAGTTTTATCAGCATACACCATACCAATAAAGCTGCATATTACCTCTGGCTACAGCCTCCAGGACTGTCACCATCAGGGCTGATATAGCTGATCCAGACTTTTAGGTGACACACGTGCAACTGTCTGCCGACCCATGATGATGACTGAATACACAGAATTCTTTTAACAGAAGTCAGCAATTTTTAACCCACCTAACATTTTATATACCTCCTCTCTTTGCATGTGTAGACACACTGTCTTGTCCATGGTGTGACTGTCCTGTGCTCCTTTGCTGAACAAAATGGAGCAAAGTGGGCAGGAGGCCACTAGTCCTCCAGGCAGTGAGCTACTTGGCTCTGGGACTGGACACAAGCTGACCCAGAAATTAGAAAAGAGGCTTGAGACTTAGCTTGGTGTAGTCTGCTGGGTTATCTGAGATCCCAGGGTCCCAGATGACCTCATGAAGCCAGAGAAGTGTCACTCATCTCTTAGGTTTCCAGAACCCAGTGGAACTCATAATTATGTCAGAGGAAGGAAAGGGCTTTTTTTGTAAAAAAAAAGTATCTACATGCTTGCAGTCAGCTCATTGCCAGCTCATCTCATTTGTAATGGAACATAACCTCACTATGTTTGGACTCATTGTTGCAGTCACTGTCAGGCCATTGCATGGAGAATCAGCATCTTTTTTGCCAAATGTTAATAGTAGGTTCAGCGTTGAGCTGCTAACGGAAAGGTGGGTAGTTCAAACCCACTACCTGCTCCATGGGAGAAAGGTGGATAGTCTCCCTCCTGTGTCATTTACTGCTTCTGAATACTGCTTCTGAAAACCTGCTGGAGGGTCAATCTTGATTCAAGGACATATAACATTTATTGATAGATAGATAGATAGATAGATAGATAGATAGATAGATAGATAGATATGCTTTTCTATATATGCTGCAAATTGGGGTTTTTTTAATATATATGATAGAGTCTAAAAATGCCAAGCAGAACAAAAGCTGTTAAGCACACCTTTTTATTTGCTCAGTTTTATATATTGATGGCAGATTGTACAGTTGAGCCAGGTGTTACACCATCCTTTTTCTTCTCCCCATGCTTTTGAGAAGGAGCCATGGTGGCTCAGTCTGTTCATGTTGCACTGCTAACTGAAAGGTCAGCAGTTCAAATCTCCAAACCGCTCCTCTCATAAAGACTTAGGGCCTTGGAAACCTATTAGAAGATCACAGAAGTCAAGAGTGACCCCATGGTAGGGAGTTTGGTTATGTTTCATGGTTTTGAGATTTTGACAAAGCATTTGTTCACATCCTGTTCCCTACCGTAATTCCTTTGTTTTTTTTGTTACCAAAAAGTTTGTAACTATACATTCATGGATTTAACGTGCATTTTGATACTGCTCTGGTGATCAATGATCAACACAGTCCATGCAGGCTGGCAGGTCTCTTTTTCTTGCAAAGCCAGCTTGGAGATCTGAAGCAGAGTTTGTGTATAGAATGTGGTGACTCACAGCTGGGTGGTCTGCAGACATTGGATCCCAGGGATATTTCTACCACAGGAAAGTCTTGTTATCAGGTAGAAGGAGATGACCTCTTGTGCAAGATATGTGTCTTAATCTCATCATTTTCTGGTTTCAGCCTGTTAAAGATGCAGATCCACATTTCCATCACTTCCTGCTCAGCCAGACAGAAAAGGTGAGCTGCTCTTGAGTGTGCAGATAATGATCAAGGGCTGACCTGCCCCCTTGGGATCTTGCTATTCTGGGCTACAGAGTCAGGCTCTGCCTCCACCCTGCCCACAGCACCCAGTTCTGAAGTCAGATAAACAAATCATGGTTGGCTGAGATTTAATACAAATTCCAAAAATGCTTGAAAGCTCAGTCAACCATTACTAAGTGGCATAGTGATTAAAGTATATGGCTGCTAACAGAAAGGTGACGTCTAGATCCACTTCCTTGAGAAAGACGCAGTCTACTTCCATAAAGACTCACCTTGTAAATCCTGTGAAGCAGAGCTGCTCTGTCCTCTGGGGTCATGAGGCATTGGAATCCAGTCCATGCAGTGGATTTTATTGCTCACAGGTTGGCAGTTCAAATCCACCAGGCACTCCTTATGAGAAAGATGAGGTAATCTGGTTGTATAAGGATTGCAGCCTCAGCTTTCCGATCTCAGCTTCCCGATGTGCAGTTCTGCTCTGTCCTGCAGGATTGTCAAGACTCAGAATGGATGGTACAGCAGTTAGTTCATTGTCTTTTGTAACCTTCTGTGCTTGCCTGCTATGCATCTAGCCAGAAGGTTGGTGGTTTGAATCCACTGGAACTTCTCCGAGGGAAGACGGTATGGTGCTTGCTTCCAAAAAGACCACAGCCTTGGAAACCATTCATTCCTAGGGGCAATTTTGCTCTGTACCCTGTAGGGTCCCTGGGATATCTAGCTCAGTGGAAGTGCGTTTGGTGGTGATTTTGCCAGCATCTGGGCAGAAAGCAAGTGCATTTAGTCTCCTGTGAGGAACTTGTGCCACTCAGTGGCTTCAGGGAGTCCCAGGTTATGGACGGAGTCTTTCTCCGAGTGTGAGCAAAACCACCAGAGAGAAGAGCTTGGTGGGACCCACAAGGCAACTATGGCTTCTAACTCAGCCTCGTGATTAGCTGTATGACTCAGACTCATGACTCAAGGTCCCTGATGCTCCAGTGTCACTTATGCTAGGAGGCCTGTGTAGCTAATTGAGATGCTGTGGATATGTGTCTAGGATATCATTTGGAGTCCAAGAAAAGTGGACACAAGATTAGTGTTCCAGACTTCCTTTAAAACCCAGCCTTCTCAGGAAGTTCTGTCTTCCCAGGGAAATTGCTTTCAAGGGAATTATTGTAATAAAATTTGTCAAGACTTGCTTGGGTTTAATACTTGATCTTTTTTCCTCCCTCTTTCCCAGCCAGCTGTGTGTTACCAGGCAATCACGAAGAAGTTGAAAATATGTGAAGAGGTATATGGCCTCCACTCTCTCAGTTTTCTGCTTCCTGGACCCTCTGAGGGCAGCAGCTTCATGCTCCATGTCTAATTCTCTCTCCTCAGGAGACTGGCTCCACCTCCATCCAGGCAGCAGACAGCACAGCCGTCAATGGCAGTGTTACGCCCACAGACAAGAAGTATGTCTAAAGCGGGGACCCACCTTCTGCCAGGGTTTAGGAGTGTGAGTCACTGAAGAGGCTCAGTAAGAGGGTGACTCAGGATGGGTGCATTGGGTACCCCGTCCAAGCCTAAGCGAGATCTATGATTATAACTGACCATGATTCCCAGCAGATATGCTGAGGACAGTGGCTCTCAGGACGAGCTCAGTTGTTCTCAGAGGGCATCTGGGGAAGTATAAGGTTCTGGATGCCACCTCCTAGGCTTTCCCAGTCAGTGATGGCTGAGTCTATTCTTAAGCACATCTCCAGACTGAACCAGCGCTATAGATCAGAGGACCAGAGTTTGAGAAGGCCTGCCCTGGTGGGAGTTTACTGCCAGCCCTGGAACTAACTGGGGCGGGGCCGGTGCATGGGGGACATGGTCTCTATCACCCTGGCCCTCCTTGCTTGCACTATCCCATCCTCTGCTCACTAACCTGCCCAGGAGAATTGAAATTGCAGACACTGTAGGACTTGGACTGTGTCTTCATTATTATTATTATTGAGTATAGCAGAAATAGCCACGTGTGGATCTTTAACAAACAGAATTCATTCTCTCCCAGTTTGTGTTGTTGTGTATATACAGTCAGAACCAACTCAGTTGATTGTCTAACGAGTTTTCACAGGCAAGAAATCACACAGGCGGAAATTACCTTTTGTTTCAAAACAACTGGTGGATTCAAAAGTAAATCGCACAGGAGGAGATTGCCCATCTTCTTCCCTCAGAGCAACTGGTGGATTCGAACTGCATGTCTTTGGGTTGGCAGCATAACTCCTTACCCCCTAGGCCAACATTACTTCACACTTTAGGAGATTAGAAGTGCAAAGTTTGAGTGCCGGTCCTAAGGCAGAACTTCTTTGTTGATTGTAGAAGAAGGGCCTTGTTTCCAGCAGGAACTGTGGGCACAGCACTCCTTGGAGATCTCCATGTGCATCAAGAAGCTTCCTAGCACTGGGCCATAGGTCCAAAAGATGTGCTTCATCCCTGATCTTTCTTGGTGGTGATGAGGTCTCCCTCCCTCCACTCTGTTTATTTCTTGAGAGACAAAAGGTGTTGGTAGGCCACACCCCAGGGAAGCTCCCCTTTCATCAAATCAGATTATGCTATGACCAGATTAAAGGGATTGCCTTTCCCCCTGATACCTGTACCACTGAATTGGTGGAACATGCAGTGGAGAATGACTACATTGTCATATTTTTGCCAATAACCTTAACTCATTAGTTTCATAGAGGTCACAATTTACGATATGCAGGACAGTTACACAGAAAATCATGGCCCAGCTAAGTTAACACATTGTTTTGGATATACACAATTCAGTCCATGGCAGAGGTACAGCCAAATTGCATCCTAGTAGAGAGAAAGGAAGAAATGCAAGAACCTGGAAGTAAAGTCTAGGCAAGGTGAAATGGTTCCAATGGATGTGCTAATGGAGCCAGTAGTGGAGTTGGAGCTGCAGCCCCCAAGTTCTAGGGTTCCACGGAAGACAGAGCGAGCAGAGAGTAGAGTACATGGTCTGTCACTAAGCCCAAACCACCACTGTTAGTGGATTCCAAATCAAAGCTACCTTTCATCAGATTTCCAAGGGTGAAAATCTTTATGAAAGAAAAGGACCTAGCTTTCCCCTGTGAAGCAACTAGTGGGTAGACATTGCTCACTTTTCAGCTCCCTGCTTGGAACAGTACTCTTCCAAGTTATAGGAGGGCAGAGTGAACCCCCTCCTGTCATCATCCTCTCTGTAGGAGATGTGTTTTATGCTTTTGGCAATTCATAGTGTGTTCAGTATTCTCTAGGGATTAAGCAGAGGTCCATTCAGCATGGTGAGGAAGTACACTAAACATTGACCACTAGGTGGTTACGTGTACCCTCAGGCATCCCACCCTGCCTGTGCCCATCTGCCTCTGTCTGTTTCAGGATAGGATTTTTGGGCCTTGGACTCATGGGAAGTGGCATCGTCTCAAACTTGCTGAAAATGGGACACACGGTGACCGTCTGGAACCGGACTGCCGAGAAGGTGAGCATTCCCAGTGATGGTCCTATCAGGGGGGTGACTAAGGACAGGAACCTCTCCCTACGTGTCTGCTTGGTGGTGTGGGTGTTGGAGTAAGGAAAACCAAGCACACAGTTTAAGGTTATTGTAAAGACCAGATATTTAAAAATACCTGTGGTTAGAAAATGAAAGAACAACTTCCACTCTGTGCCAGGACCTTAAGTAGCTGATAATTGGATGTTTGATGTCTCTCTTTTGATGTATATCCAAATATGCATGCGTGTGTGTGTCCATCTGTCTGGTATGCCACTGGCTGCCATCCCATGGGTCCCACTGACAAGTCTGCTCTCTTCTTGGTGGCCACCGTGTACTCTGACCATGTTGAAAAGCACTGTGCACTGGGCCGTTCTATTTGGTTATGGGGAACAGCACTGTGCACTGGCACATTTTGGTTTTTTTCAAGTGAATAGCACTGTGCACTGGGACATTCTGTTTGGTCGTGGTGAATATCACTGTGCACTGGGACGTTCTGTTTGGTCGTGGTGAATATCACTGTGCACTGGGACGTTCTGTTTGGTCGTGGTGACTAGCACTGTGCACTGGGATGTTCTCTTTGGTTGTGATGAACAGTGCTGTGCACTAAGATGTTCTGTTTGGTCGTGATGAATAGTGCTGTGCCCTGGGACATAACACTGTTCTGTGTCTGCACTACTTAGTGTGGTGGTCACAAGTGACTGCTGGTTACAGGAAAGGCTGCTTATATGACTTAAACATAAAATTTTTAAATTTCACTTTTATTTCCATTTAAGCAGCCTGTGTGTGTCTAGGGTGGTAGTGTTGACACAATGGGGTTAGAAGTTTCTGACACTGCAGGTGGGCTCCTCTTGTTGAAGCCAAGGTGAAAAGTGCAGAAAGCCTTGCAGGAGAACTGCTGGAGATTCAGAACTGACACTACCCCATAACAAGAACAGGCTGGGGATGTCCTTCTGAAGAGTAATGAGGAAAGGAAGAGTGAGCTGATGGAGCCTGAGGAACAGCACTGAGAGCCCAGCAAAAAGGCAGGCAGCAGGGCTTGGGCCCCAAGGCACCTGAGGTCACTAACTGCACACCTGGTAATGCCAATACTTTTCAAAGTCCCACGGTGGCTGAAAGCAAGGAGGCCATAAAGCATAGGGAACAGTCCAGAAACACCGGGAGAACCAGAGGATTTATCTTGATAGTGCGTGCCCCTAGTCACTGGGAAGCCAGAGTGGTCCTGTTGTTTAATAGACAGGAAACAAGACAGAATGGTGAGAGACTCAGCAAACATGATTTCAAATTGCATCTCTGCAGCTAACCTTCTGAGCAAGATGTCTTTCTAAACCCATTGCCGTCCAGTAAGTCCTGACTCAGTTCTGTCCTCCGTCAGGCTGTCCAGGCCATTTATCTTTACAGGAAGAACCCCTAGTGGTGGTTGTTAGATGCTGTCAAGCTGACCAAGACTCATAGCAACATTATGAACAACAGATAGGAACCTTGCCTCATACTATCAAGCTCAAGCCCTTGTAGGGAGCTTTTGTGGCTTTGTGGTAAGGAATTGTGCTGCCAATACAAAGGTACACAATTCTAATCCACTAGCTGCTCTTCTGGACAAAGACGGGCAGTCTCCTTTTACTGTGATTTTCTGCCTCTGAAAACCTGCTGAGTCGATTCCAACTGAAGGGTTCACAGCAAGCCCTTGTAATCACTGTGTCAATCTATCTTTGTTTTTTAAATAAATTTTTTTTATTTTAATTGTCAGTTTAACAAAAGTTTACAGAAAAGTTAGATTTTCATTTATTCGTTGTTACACACTTTAGCCCCTCTCCCACCCTTCCCCTGTGTCAATATATCTTGGTGAGCATCTTCCTTTTTTGTGACCTTCTCTTTTTCCCAGCATATTGTCTTTTTCCAAAGACTGGCCCTTGTCTTTAAGGAGCAATCTGATTGCACTTTCTCCAAAACAGATTTCTTTGTCCTTTTGGCAGTCCATGGGATATTAAGTACTGTTGTCCAACACCAAAATTCTGTGATTTTTTTTTTTATTCATTGTCCAGCTTTCAGATGCATAGGAAGCAATTGAAAATACTATGGCTTGCGTTAGCCACACCTTAGTCTTTAAACTCAAATCTTTGCTCTTTAGCACATTGGAGAGGTCCTTGGCAGCACATTTTCCCAATGTAATACTTCTTTTGATTTTGTTTTTTGGAGAGTTGTTATTTTTTTTTTTTACTTCTAACTTACTTTATTGGTTTGCATACAATAATTTGCTTATATTGTGCTTTATTCACTTACATTATTTTTATGTTTTATTTGTTTGTGGGGGGAAGTTTGCCCCTTCCCAAGGATGTTGATTGTCAATCCAAGTGAAATGAAGTCGTTGACAGCTTCCTTCTTTTCTTTCTGTCATGATATAACCTGTTGGTCCAGTGGTGAGGATTTTTGTTTTCTTGATGTTGAGATGTAATCCATATTGAAGTCTTTGATGTTTTGCAGTAACTGCTTCAGATCATCACTTCCGGCAAGCAAGATTGTGTCATCTCTATAATGCAGGTTGTTTGTTGATGAGTCTTCCTCCAAATCTGATGCCACATTTTTCATATAGTCTTGCTTCTCAAATGTGTTCAGAATGCAGGTTGAGTAAGTATTGAGAAAGGATACAACTCATTTCCTGGCTTAAACCACTCTGAACAGTTTATTTTTGTTCTGTGGGTAGGTTTTACATGAGCATAGTTAAGTGTTTTGGGATTCCCATTCTTCTCAGTATTATCCATAACTTGTATGATCCACATAGTCAAATGCCTTTGCATCATCAATGAAACACAGGTAAATATCTTTCTGATATTCTTTCCTTTCAGCTGAGGTCCATCTCTTTTCATAGATGTTGTTAAGTGCCATTGAGTTGTAGATGACTCATAGCGACCCTGTGAACAAAAGACTTGCATACTTGTATAACTTGCATCGTTTCTCTAAGTTCATAGCGTTTCTGGAGGCAAGCTATTTTGGAGGTGTACGCCACTCCTGCTTCCAAGCTTGTTTTAATCAGGGAGCTCAGCCACTGTCCGCCATGGGCAACCATTATCGCATTTGACACATTAGTGTCACAGTGTTCAGCATGTAGTATTTCTGGTAGTCCATCAAGTGTTGTCCATGTGTATATATGCTTTTAAAAAAATATTTGGGGGGTGGGAAAATACTTGGGGGGAAAAAGGCTAAGTGAAAAAAGGCTTATGCCACTAAATACACAAAAAATTTTGTCATGTGATCTCCTACTTCATTTCTGTCACCAAATTCTTTACTTCCACCTTTTGCTGTCCAGTCACCAATTATTATTAATATATCTTTATTGCATGCTTTATCAATTGCAGACTGCAAAGGTTGGTAGAAATCCTTAATTTCTCCATCTTTAGCCCTTCATTTTATTAGGCATATCCCTTGATAACAGACTTTGGGGCAAACATTTTATGTTCCCAGAGAAGGAACACAAAAAGGAGAGGTGCAAAATGAATGTGGGGATCAGGAATAATCAAATTAAGTCAAACAAGAAGTTGCTGTTGGGTCCCTTCCACCTCACACTGGCTAAATGATCAAGTGGAGGGGAGCTCTGGTGTCCTAGTGCAAAGAAGCTGTACTACAATCCTAGAGGTGCACGGTTCGAATCCACCAGATGCTCTGCCGGGAAAGGAGGAACAATTTCCTCCTGTACCAGTCAGATCTGATTTGACGGTACACACACACTCAAATAATAAAATAAAAATAAAATATTTTTTAAAGAAAGGATCAAGTGGAAAAAGGTTAGGATTCATTTATGCAGCTGTTTTTAAATGTTATGTTGTTGTTGTTATGTGCCGTCGAGTCGTTTGCGACTCATAGCGACCCTATGCACAATAGCCCTAAACCCTGCTCTATCCTGTGCCAACCGCACTGCCTCTGACACACCCATCCCGATTACCCCAGTCACCGAATCAATCCATCTCATAGAGGGTCTTCCCCTCCTGCGCTG